GCCGTCCACGCGGTCACGGCCATTGCCTGCGCAGAATTTTATTCACTGGCATCGTCTGTTCACGGCGTACCTTGTAGTTTGTATACATTACATGGGCGCCGATACAATACCCTTCACATAAGTTTGCCATGCCGAGGACGAGGGAGAGAGCGGTCGACTTAACCGCGTTTGGCCCGAGTTGATGCGTACGAGTATTCAAGTCGATTCAAAAAGGCAGAAGCGGGAATTAACATTGACGCGTACAAGTGCAAACTGCAATGTCGGCGTGTCGACCACCAGAGAACCGATGATATAGAGAAGCAACGCTATTTTTTCGCATGGATCGTATGCGCTGCAGGTAGGAGCATGAATGATGAATGGGGTTGCGTACAACTCGAGTGAAGTGTATATGAAGGACTCTAATGTCGTCGTGTCGAAGGTCTAGTGTCTCCAGTGGGAAGCAGTGTCGCCACTTATGAGCGGTGTCATCACGATTGACGGGCTGTTCCTATGGCAAATACGCACTGCGCACAAATGGTGCTCTATCCAAACTGCCACACAGCAGCCTTGACAGCAGCCCATTGAAAACGCGATACTAGTATCGCAGGAAAAGACAGGAGCAGGCTCACAATCGGACTCTTGAGGGCGGGTGGAGGCACAACTACTAGTGTACGTCGGAGAGAGTACAATCGACTTTATCATCCAACACCGTCTAAAAGCCGTGGTACGTTCGCAAAGCGGGGCGCAGGATCGCCGGTTTGGCTTTGGCGTCGTCGCGGGCGGTCGTGTGCGCTTGCATCCGCGCGGCCGCCATCTTTCGCCGCACGGCGCGCACAAACTTTTGCGCGCGGAAGCAGCGAAAACGCCGCTGAATACGCGTCGCCGCCGCGTGTCGCTCGGCCAACGTCGCGGCGTGGGCGTCCTCGCGCGCCGACCGCGTTGGCACGTGATTGGATTGCTTTTTGGCGCGCAAATCCATAACCGACCCCTTGGTCGTCATCGACGTCGCGTGTACGTGTTGCGCCGCCAGGTTGTCGAGCATGCCTTGGCGACTGCGCACGCGAATGTCATTTTTGATCTCTTCAATCGTCTACACCCGCATGTCGAAACAAAAACGCACAATTGCGACCTACTTGATGGCCGTCGGAGTGCGTGACGAGCACGCGTCGATTGCTCGAGTTGGCGCAGGCGCCGGTGCCCCCCGAGAGGTGCCACGCGTTGCGCATCATGAGCTCAAAGTAATCGTCGCCGTCGATCGACGCGCTAATACCCTAGATGACGTCGACACTGCGTGAAATGAACCGGAAAGCGTGAAAAGTACAGTACGCGGTAGTATGTCTCAAACTCGGCCAGGGACACCGTGCCGTTGCCATCGAGGTCCCAGTGCTGCATAAACTGCACCAGAGCATCGCGTGGCGTAAGGCGCCCGGCGACCACATCGGGGTGGTGCGTCACATCAAAGCCTTTGCGAAGGTCGTCGATCGTGACTTGTCCGTCGCCATCGACGTCGAGGACGCTGTACGCTTGATGCACGAGCGCCCGGCGGCGGTCGTTGAGCTCGCCTCGAAGTCCGGTAAGGAGCTCGTCAAAGCTGATGGAGCCGCTGTGGTCCGTATCGAGGAGCGTCATGAGCTGGTCGACGTCGTGCAAATGAATTTCAATGCCGTAGGTTTCCAAGCCAGATTTGAGTTCGTTCTTGGTGAGTTTGCCGTCGCCGCCGTCGTCCCAGATGCGCATCACTCTACGTAGTATACCGTCCA